GGGTGATTTCGGGGTGATTTTTTGGGGTAATTTTGGGGTGGTTTTTGGGGTTTTTTGGGGTAATTTTGAGGTAATTTTTGGGGGCATTTTGGGGATAATTTCAAGGTGATTTTTATGGTGATTTTGGGGTTATTTTGGGATAATATTGGGGTGATTTCGGGGGGATTTTGGGGTAATTTTGGGATGATTTTTGGATAATTTTGAGGTGATTTTTGGGGGGATTTTGGGGGGATTTTGGGGGTATTTTGTGGTGATTTTGGGGGGATTTTTGGGTAATTGAAGGGTGATTTCTGGGGATGATTTCGGGGTGATTTTGGGGTATTTTGTGGTGATTTTGGGGTGTTTCTGGGTGGTCCTGGGGTGCTGACCCCGTGTCCAGGGGGGGCCGTGCTGATTTTCGAGGTGGAGCTGCTGAAGATCGAGCGGCGCCCGGAGCTTTAGGGGGCCCCAAAAGCCCCAAATTCCCCCAAATTCCCCCGAATTCCCCCCAGCCCCTCCCCCCTTCCCAGCCCCACATTTTGGGGTCCCCACGAGGTTTTGGGGGGGGAGGGGGAGCCCCAAATGTTGGGGTCAATAAAGGGTTAAACCAAAGTTCTGCTGCCAGGCTTGGTTTTGTTTTTTGGGGGATTCTGGGTCATTTTGGGGGGAATTTAACGGCGATTTTTGGGGTGATTTGGGGGTGATTTTTGGGGGGATTTTGAGGTAATTTTGGGGTGATTTTGAGGTAATTTTGGGGTGATTTGGGGGAGGATTTTTGGGGTAACTTTGGGGTGATTTTTGTGTAAATTTGGGGTAATTTTGAGGTGAATTTATGGGCAATTTCTGGGATGATTTCGAGGTGAGTTTGGGGGGATTTGGAGGTAATTTTGGGGTGATTTCGGGGTGAATTTAAGGGCGATTCTGGGATAATTTGGAGGTGAATTTAAGGTGATTTTTGGGGGGATTCAAGGTGACTTTTGGGTACTTTTGAGGTGAATTTAATAGCGATTTTTGGGGTAAATTCGGGGTGATTTTTGGGGCAACTTTGGGGTGAATTTTGTGTGATTTTGAGGTAATTTTGGGGTGAATTTAAGGGTGATTTTTGGGTAATTTCGGGGAGATTTTGGGATAATTTGGGGGACATTTTGGGGGAGATTTAGGACTGATTTTTTTTTTTAAATATCGAAAGAACCAAAAGAGGCCGAGCCCGAAAATGTCAAAGCTGCTTTTATTAAACCCATATAAAAACAACCCCAACCCCCCGGAATTTAAAAAAAACTAAAAAAAAAAAACCCCAAACCCCCAAATTCCCCCCAAAATCCCTCCCAGGACCCCCCAAAACCAGTGGGGGAGGGGGGGAGTGATTATCTCTGCAGGGGGGGACCCCAAAAATGGGGGAGTCCCCCCGAAATTGGGGCGGGGGTGCGGCTGGGGGGTCCCCCTGGACTTTGGGGGGTTTCCCCCAGTTTTGGGGTCATTTCTTCTGGGGGGTGTTGAGTTTCTGCATCCCCCGGATTTTCTCCAGGAGATCCCCCACGAACGCCTGGGGGGGAGGGGAAAAGGGGGGTCAGGGGGACCCCAAAATCCTTCGGGGGTCCCTGAAACCCCCCAGGATAAAATCCACCCCCGAAATCGCCCCAAAATTCCCCAAAAATTCCCTGAAAATCCCTTGGAAAAATCCTCTCCCCCCTCCCCAAAACCTCCCCAAATTCCCTCCCAAAAATCCCCAAAATTCCCCCCAAAAACCCTCCCCAAAATCCTAAAAATCCCCCCCAAAAATTCCCTGAAAATCCCTTGGAAAAATCCTCTCCCCCCTCCCCAAAACCTCCCCAAATTCCCTCCCAAAAATCCCCAAAATTCCCCCCAAAAACCCTCCCCAAAATCTTAAAAATCCCCCCTAAAAATTCCCCAAAATTCCCCCAAATCCCTCCCAAAAATGAGACCCCCCCAACCCAAAAAAGGGACCCAAAATGCCCCAAAATTTCCTAAAATGCCCCCAAAATCCCCTAAAATGCCCCCAAAATCCCTCCATAATGTCCCAAAAATCCCTAAAATTCCCCAAAATCCCCTCAAATCCCCCCAAAATCCCCCCAAATTCTGTAAATTCCCCAGAATTCCCCAAAATCCCCCAAAGCCCCCCCAAATCTCCCCAAATTCTGTAAAATGCCCAAACCCCCCAACCCCTCACCTCGGTGGGTTTGTAACAGTCAACGAGGATCTCCTGGGGGGAGGGGAGGATTTGGGGGTCACCATTTGGGGCCCCCCAAAATTTGGGGTCCCTGAAACCCCCCCCAGGCCCCTCCCCCACAGCCACGGCCGGAATTTGGGGGGATTTGGGGCATTTTAGGGGATTTTGGGGGGATTTTTGGGGCATTTTAGGGGATTTTGGGGGCATTTTAGGGGATTTTTGGGGCATTTTAGGGGATTTTTGGGGCTGTTCCTGGGAGGGACCCCAAGGGATTTTGGGGTCCATTTTTGGGGGGATTTTTGGGGGATTTGGGGACGGATTTTGCAGGGGGTTGGTGCTGATTTTTGGGGTTGTTTTGGGGATATTTGGGGTGATTTTGGGGAGGTTTCGGGGTGATTTGGGGTGGTTTCGGCGTTATTTCACGTGGTTTCAGGTGGGTTTTGAAATTATTTTGGGGTTATTTCGGGTGGTTTTGAGGTGGTTTCGGGTGGTTTCAGTGGTTTTCAGTGATTTTAGGACGATTTTGGGGTGGTTTTGGCTGGTTTTGGCAGTTTCAGGGTGGTTTTGGGGTGGTTTCATTCAGTGATTTTAGGACGATTTTGGGGTGATTTTGGCTGGTTTTGGGGTGATTTTGGCTGGTTTTGGCAGTTTCAGGGTGGTTTTGGGGATGATTTGGGGTGATTTTTGTCTGTTTTTGGCCATTTCAGGATGACTTTGGGGTTATTTTGACTGGTTTTGACCATTTTTGGCCATTTCAGGAGGATTTTACGACGATTTTGGCTGGTTTTGTCTGGTTTGGGTTGTTTCAGGGTGGTTTCAGTGCTTTTGGGGCAATTTTGGGATGATTTTGGCAATTTTTGCCCATTTTTCCCATTTCTGTCCATTTTTTGCCCATTTTTGGTCGTTTTTGCCCATTTCTGTCAATGTTGTGCCTGGTCTTTCTCCAATCTTTCCCCATTTTTGCCTATTTCTGTCAGTTTTTTGCCCATTTTTGTCCATTTTTCCCGTTTTTACTCATTCCTGTCAATCTTTGCCCATTTTTGTCCATTTTTTCCCCATTTTTGTCCATTTTTTTCCGTTTTTTCCCATTTTTCGGGGCTGTTCCTGGGAGGGACCCCAAGGGATTTTGGGGTCCATTTTTGGGGGGATTTTTGGGGGATTTGGGGACAGATTTTGCAGGGGGTTGGTGCTGATTTTTGGGGTTGTTTTTGGGATATTTGGGATGATTTTGGGGAGGTTTCGGGGTGATTTGGGGTGGTTTCAGTGGTGGTGGGGTTATTTCAGGTGATTTTGGGTGATTTCTGGTGGTTTTGGGATAATTTTGGGATGATTTTGGGGTTATTTCAGGGGGTTTCGGGGTTCCTTAGGGTGATTTTGGGTCCTTTTGCCAGATTTTGAGGCTGATTTTGGGTGGTTTCCGTGGTTTTCGGGTGGCTTCCGGTGGTTTTGGGGTTATTTCACGTGGTTTCAGGTGGGTTTTGAAATTATTTTGGGGTTATTTCGGGTGGTTTTGGGGTGGTTTCGGGTGGTTTCAGTGGTTTTCAGTGATTTTAGGACGATTTTGGGGTGGTTTTGGCTGGTTTTGGCAGTTTCAGGGTGGTTTTGGGGTGGTTTCAGTGGTTTTGGGGATGATTTGGGGTGATTTTTGTCTGTTTTTGGCCATTTCAGGATGACTTTGGGGTTATTTTGACTGGTTTTGACCATTTTTGGCCATTTCAGGAGGATTTTACGACGATTTTGGCTGGTTTTGTCTGGTTTGGGTTGTTTCAGGGTGGTTTCAGTGCTTTTGGGGCAATTTTGGGATGATTTTGGCAATTTTTGCCCATTTCTCCCATTTCTGTCCATTTTTTGCCCATTTTTGGTCGTTTTTGCCCATTTCTGTCAATGTTGTGCCTGGTCTTTCTCCAATCTTTCCCCATTTTTGCCTATTTCTGCCAGTTTTTTGCCCATTTTTGTCCATTTTTTCCCCATTTTTGTCCATTTCTGTCCGTTTTTTCCCATTTTTCCCCATATTTGTCCCATTTTTCCCCATTTTTTCTCATTTCTGTCCGTGTTTTGCCCATTTTTGTCCGTTTTTTCCCCATTTTTTTCCATTTCTGTCCATTTTTTGTCCATTTCTGTCCGTTTTCCCCCATTTCTGCCCGTTTTCCCCTGGGGTTTTGCCCATTTTTGGTCGTTTTTTCCCATTTCTGTCCATGCTGTGCCTGGTCTTTGTCCATTTTTTCCCCATTTTTGCCCATTTCTGTCCATTTTTTATCCATTTCTCTCCATTTTCTGCCCATTTCTGTCCATTTTTTATCCATTTCTCTCCATTTTCTGCCCATTTCTGTCCATTTTTTGCCCATTTTTTCTTATTTCTGTCCATGTTGTGCCCAGTTTTTGTCTGTTTTTTCCCCATTTTTTTCCATTTCTGTCCATTTTTTGTCCATTTTTTGCCCATTTTTGTCCATTTTCACCATTTTTTCTCATTTCTGTCCGTTTTTCCCCATTTCTGCCTGTTTTTCCCTGGGGTTTTGCCCATTTTTGTCAGTTTCCTCCCCACCGTTGCCCGTTTTTTCCCAGTTTTGCCCATTTTTGTCTGTTTTTTGCAGTTTTTTCCCATTTTTCCCCCTTTTCCCCGTTCCCACCTGCACGCGGGCGCTGCGGGCGCCGTCGCTCTCCATGTCCAGCAGCTCGTCCACGTCGATCTCCAGCTCGGGGATCTCCTCCTCCTGCCCCCCATGGGGACCCCAAATCAGGGCAGGGACCCCAAATTGGGGAGGGGTCCCGCAGAGGGGATCGGGGGGTCCGGGGTTGGGGGGGCTCAGGGGCCCCTGGGAAAGTTTTGGGATTGATTTGGGGTGAATTTGGGTGATTTGGGGGCTGATTTTTGAGGTGATTTTGGGGGAATTTCAAGGTGATTTGGGGGTAATTTTGGGATGAATTTCAGGTGATTTTTGAGACGGTTTTGGGGAAGGTTTTGAGGCGATTTTGGGCAGTTTTGAGTTGATTTTGTGGCTGATTTTTGAGGTGATTTGGAGGAGATTTAGGGGCGATTTTGGGGTGACTTCGGAGCAGATTTTTGGGGTGATTTGGGAGCAGTTCCAGGTGATTTTTGAGGAGGCTTTGGGCTGATTTTTGGGCCATTCTTGCCGTTGCTTTGGGACGATTTTGGGGTCCCTTTCCCGTTCCCATCCCCGTTCCCAGTGCTGGTCCCAGTCTCCCAGCTCCCGTTCCCCTCTGAATCCCCGGTCCCGGTCCCGATCCTGATCCCATTCCCGTTCCACTCCCATTCCCGTTCCCGGTTCCTATTCCCGTGTTGCCATCCCCGTTCCCAGTCCCGTTCCTGGTTCCCCATCCCCGTTCCCCGTATCCCCGGTTCCCAGTTCCTCATTTCCCGGTTCCCCGGTGCCGTTCCCGTTCCCGTTCCCGGTCCCGGTTCCCCATTCCCATTCCCGTTCCCGGTTCCTATTCCCGTGTTGCCATCCCCGTTCCCGGTCCCGTTCCTGGTTCCCCATTCCCGTTCCCATTGCCGATCCCATTTCCCATTCCCATTCCCTGTCCCCGGTTCCCGTTCCCATTCCCGTTCCCATTCCCGTTCCCGGTTCCTCGGTTCCCGTGTCCCGTTCCCATTCCCATTCCCGGTCCCGTTCCCAGTCCCGGTTCCCCGGTTCCCCGTGTCCCGTTCCCGGTTCCCGGTTCCCCATTCCCATTCCCGGTCCCGTTCCCCATCCCCGTTCCCGTTCCCCGTTCCCGCTCCCGGTCCCGGTTCCCCGTTCCCGGTTCCCCGTTCCCCGGTGCCGCTCCCGGTTCCCGGCAGTCGTAGAGCGCGGTCAGCTGCGCCAGGATCCACTCCTCGAGGTGCAGCCGCTTGCGGAGCTCCCTGCGGTCGTAGCGCACCGTGACCTTCCCGCGGCCCCGCCCCGGGCCCTCCTCCGCCGCCGCCGCCGCCGCGGGGGCGAAGCAGACGCGGGGCCCGGGGGCCGGACCCTTGGGGGATATTTTGGTTTTTGGAGGGATTTTGGGGGGGTTGGGGGTTTTGGGGGGTTTTTTGGGGGCTCAGGAGGTTTTTGGCCCCCCAGGACCCCCCCAGCCACACCCCGGTGACGCTGAGGGTCGACCCCGACGGATTCTTCCTCTACTGGACGGGGCCCAGCGCGGTGAGACCCCGAAAGGGACCCCGAAATCAGCCCGAGACCACCCCAAAATCACCCCAAAACTGACCCCAAAACCACCCCGAAATCACCCCCAAAATACCCTGAAATCAATCCCCAAAGTGCCCCAAAAATGGTCCCAAAATTACCCGGGGCTCAGGAGGTTTTTGGCCCCCCCAGGACCCCCCCAGCCACACCCCGGTGACGCTGAGGGTCGACCCCGACGGATTCTTCCTCTACTGGACGGGGCCCAGCGCGGTGAGACCCCGAAAGGGACCCCGAAATCAGCCCGAGACCACCCCAAAATCACCCCAAAACTGACCCCAAAACCACCCCGAAATCAGCCCGAGACCACCCCGAAATCACCCCAAAATACCCTGAAAGCAATCCCCAAAGTGCCCCAAAAATGGTCCCAAAATTACCCTGAAATCACCCCAAAATTACTCTGAAACCGCCCCAAAAGTGACCCCAAAACCGCCCCAAAAATGTTCCCAAAACCACCCAGAAAATGACCCCGAAGTGACCCCAAAAGTGCCCCAAAATCACCCCAAAGTGCCCCAAAACTGCCCCAAAAATGTCCCCGAGAGTGACCCCAAAAATGTCCCCAAAAGTGCCCCAAAAGTGGCTTTTAAGGGACCCCAAAAGTTCCCCAAAACCCCCCCAAAGTGCCCCAAAAACGGCCCCAAATGACCCCGGAGAGACCCCAAAAAATGACCCCAAAATTTCCCTGCCGTGACCCCAAATTGCCCCAAATCCCCCCAAAATTCCTCCAAAATTCCCCAAAATTCCTCCAAAATTCCCCCAAACAATCCCAAACCCCCCCGGAATTCCCCAAACGGCCCCAAATTCACCCAAATTCCCCCGGTTGATTTTGGGGGGATTTTGAGGGGGTTTTGGAGGAATTTTGAGGAGGTTTTGGGAGAGATTTTGAGGGGGTTTTGGGAGGGGTTTTGGGGTTTTTTGGGGGCTTTTGGGGGGTTCTGGGTCCCCAATGCAGCCGTGGCAGGTGTGGGCAGAGGAGCTGTTCAAGCTGGCCACGAACATCCTGGCCCGGAACGCGTCGTGGAACACGCTGCTCAGGAAGGCGTGGGTGCCCCAAAATCCCAAAATCGCCCCAAAATCACCCCAAAATCACCCTAAAATCAACCCCAAAACCAGCTCAAAATCACTCCAAACATTCCCTAAAATCCCCCCCCGAATCTTCCTTGAAATCTTTCCCAAATTCCCCCAAAATCCACTCAAAATCCTCCCCATGATCACCCCAAAAAATCTCCCCAAAAATTCCCTAAAATCACCCCTGAATTCTCCTTAAATCCCTCCCAAATTCCCCCAAAATCTCCCCAAAATGACCTCAAAAATTCCCTCAAATCATCTCCAAATCTTCCCAGAAATCACCCCCAAAATGTCCCAAAAACCCCAAAACCCAAACATCCCAAACGCCCCAAATCCCCAGAACTCCCCCAAACCCACCCCAAATCCCAAAATTCCCCCAATTCCCCAATTCCCCCAAAATTCCCCAAAATTCCCCAATTCCCCAAATTCCCCAAAATCCCCCAAAATCCCCCCAAATTCCCCAATTCCCTGCCAGGCACACGAAGCTGACGCTGCAGCTGAACCCGGACGGGCGGATCCCGGTCAAGAAGTGAGAGAACCCCAAAAATTTTGGGGATTTTTTTCCCCAAAACCAAATCCCCCAAATCTTGGGGACCCCAGATCCCCGAATTTGGGGGGCCCCATCCCGAAATTTTGGGGTTTTTTGGCAGCATCCTGAAAATGTTCTCGGCCGACAAGAAAAGGGCGGAGACGGCGCTGGAGTCGTGCGGGCTGGGCTGCGGCAGGGTGGGCTCCCAAGAACCCCAAAATCGCCCCCAAATCACCCGAAATCACCCCAAAAATCACCCCGAAATCGCCCCGAAATCACCCTGAAATCACCCCAAAAATCACCCCGAAATCACCCCAAAAATCACCCCGAAATCACCCCAAAAATCACCCCGAAATCACCCCAAAAATCACCCCGAAATTGGGGGGATTTTGAGGGGGTTTTGGAGGAATTTTGAGGAGGTTTTGGGAGAGATTTTGAGGGGGTTTTGGGAGGGGTTTTGGGGTTTTTTGGGGGCTTTTGGGGGGTTCTGGGTCCCCAATGCAGCCGTGGCAGGTGTGGGCAGAGGAGCTGTTCAAGCTGGCCACGAACATCCTGGCCCGGAACGCGTCGTGGAACACGCTGCTCAGGAAGGCGTGGGTGCCCCAAAATCCCAAAATCGCCCCAAAATCACCCCAAAATCACCCTAAAATCAACCCCAAAACCAGCTCAAAATCACTCCAAACATTCCCTAAAATCCCCCCCCGAATCTTCCTTGAAATCTTTCCCAAATTCCCCCAAAATCCACTCAAAATCCTCCCCATGATCACCCCAAAAATCTCCCCAAAAATTCCCTAAAATCGCCCCTGAATTCTCCTTAAATCCCTCCCAAATTCCCCCAAAATGACCTCAAAAATTCCCTCAAATCATCTCCAAATCTTCCCAGAAATCACCCCCAAAATGTCCCAAAAACCCCAAAACCCAACCATCCCAAATGCCCAAAACTCCCCCAAACCCACCCCAAATCCCCAAATTCCCCCAAATTCCTCCAAAATCCCCCAAAATCCCCCAAAATTCCCCAAATCCCCCCAAAATTCCCCATGCCAGGCACACGAAGCTGACGCTGCAGCTGAACCCGGACGGGCGGATCCCGGTCAAGAAGTGAGAGAACCCCCAAAATTTTGGGGATTTTTTTCCCCAAAACCAAATCCCCCAAATCTTGGGGACCCCAGATCCCCGAATTTGGGGGGCCCCATCCCGAAATTTTGGGGTTTTTTGGCAGCATCCTGAAAATGTTCTCGGCCGACAAGAAAAGGGCGGAGACGGCGCTGGAGTCGTGCGGGCTGGGCTGCGGCAGGGTGGGCTCCCAAGAACCCCAAAATCGCCCCCAAATCAGCTGGGCCCCGCGGGCCCTCATCGACCGCTACGAACCAAACAGGACCTTCAGGGAACGGGGTACGGGTTTGGGGTGAAATCCGGGCATTTTGGGACATTTGGGGTTATTTGGGGTGGTTTGGGGTGGTTTGGGGTGATTTTGGGTGGGTTTGGGGTGATTTGGGGTGATTTCTGCTGTTTTTGGGCCAGGCCAGCTGTCCCTGGAGGGGTTTTTGGGCTGTATTTTGTGAGTGATTTTGGGCTGATTTTAGGGTGTATTTTGTGATGATTTTGGGCTGTATTTTGTGGTGATTTTAGGGTGTATTTGGGGGTAATTTTGGGCTGATTTTGGGGTTTTTGGGCCAGGCCAGCTGTCCCTGGAGGGGTTTTTGGGGTGGATTTTGGGGTTATTTTGGGCTGTATTTTGTGGTGATTTTGGGCTGTATTTTGTGGTGATTTTAGGGTGTATTTGGGGGTAATTTTGGGCTGATTTTGTGATGATTTTGGGTTGATTTTGGGCTGTATTTTGGGCTGATTTTGGGGTTTTTGGGCCAGGCCAGCTGTCCCTGGAGGGGTTTTTGGGGTGGATTTTGGGGTTATTTTGGGCTGTATTTTGTGGGGATTTTGGGCTGTATTTTGGGCTGATTTTGGGGTTTTTGGGCCAGGCCAGCTGTCCCTGGAGGGCTTCTGCCGCTACCTGGGCGGGGACGAGAACGGGATCGTCCCCCCCGAGACGCTGGGGCTGCACCAGGACATGAGCCAGCCCCTGTGCAGCTACTTCATCAACTCCTCGCACAACACCTACCTGACAGGTGCCCCAAAACCCCAAATCCTGAAAATCCACCCCAAAAAAAAACCCGAATGGAAAAAACCCCAAAAAACCCCAAAAAACTGAATATCCACCCCAAAAAAAATCCCGGATGGAAAAACCGCAAAAAAACCCCAAAAAACCCAAAAATCCCCCACAAAACCTCAAAAAACCCCAAAAAACCTGAAAAAAACCCCAAAAACTGCACCCTAAACCTGCCCCAGCTGCTCCCACAGCACCTACCTGACAGGTACCTCAAAAAACCCCAAAACCCTGAAAATTCACCCCAAAAAAAAACCCGAATGAAAAAAAAAACCCCCAAAAAACTCAAAAAACCCAAAAATCCCCCACAAAACCTCAAAAAACCCCAAAAAACCTGAAAAAAACCCCAAAAACTGCACCCTAAACCTGCCCCAGCTGCTCCCACAGCACCTACCTGACAGGTACCTCAAAAAACCCCAAAACCCTGAAAATTCACCCCAAAAAAAAACCCGAATGAAAAAAAAAACCCCCAAAAAACTCAAAAAACCCAAAAAAAAGGAAAAAAACCCCAAAAACTGCACCTCAAGCCTGCCCCGGCTCCTCCCTCAGCACCCACCTGACAGGGACCCCAAAACACCCCCCGAGAAACCCCAAAACCCCAAAAACCCCAAACCCTTTTATTTCTGCCATTGCTGAGGGGATTTTTGGGGTTTTTTGCGGTTTTTTTTGGGTTTTCTGTATTTCCACCATCCCAAATCTGATTTATTAAACCCTTTTTGTCCCTTTTTTCCCTTTTTTCAGCGGGCCAGCTGACGGGGCTCTCCTCAGCAGAGATGGGTGATTTTTTGGGGGTTTTTGCAGGTTTTTTGGGTTTTTTGCGGGTTTTTCAGGATTTTCTCCATTTCCACCACCCGAATTGTGATTTTTTTACTTCTTTTTTCCCTTTTTTCCCCTTTTCCCCAGCGGGCCAGCTGACAGGGCTCTCCTCAGCCGAGATGGGTGATTTTTTGGGGGTTTTTTGCGGGTTTTTTGGGGTTTTTTGCGGGTTTTTCGGGGTTTTCTCTATTTCCAGCATCCCAAATCTGATTTTTTAAATTCTTTTTGTCCCTTTTCCCAGCGGGCCAGCTGACGGGGCTCTCCTCAGCCGAGATGTACCGGCAGGTGCTGCTCAGCGGCTGCCGCTGCGTGGAGCTGGACTGCTGGCAGGGCCGGCCCCCCGAGGAGGAGCCGCTGGTGACGCACGGCTTCACCATGACCACCGAGGTGCCCTTCAAGGTGACCAAAATAACCTGAAATACACCCCAAAACTGCACCAAAATACACCCCAGAACTGCCCCAGAACTGCCCCGAAACCACCCTGAAACCTGCCCGAAAACTGCCCCGAAACCAGCCCAAAATCCACCCCAAAACTGCCCCAAAACCTCAGAGCCACGGCTTCACCATGACCACCGAGGTGCCCTTCAAGGTGACCAAAAACCTGAAATCCGCCCCAAAATACAGCCTGGAACTGCCCCAAAACCTCAGAGCCACGGCTTCACCATGACCACCGAGGGGCCCTTCAAGGTGACCAAAATACCCTGAAATACACCCCAAAATCTGCCCCAAAATCCCCCCAAAACTGCCCCGAAACCAGCCCGAAAACTGCCCCACAGCCCAAAATCCGCCCCAAAAACTGCCCCAAAACTGCCCCAAAACCCCCCAGTGACGGCTTCACCATGACCACCGAGGTGCCCTTCAAGGTGACCAAAAACCTGAAATCCGCCCCAAAATACAGCCTGGAACTGCCCCAAAACCACCCTGAAACCAGCCTGAAAACCAACCCAAAATCCACCCCGAAACCAGCCCAAAAACTGCCCCAAAATCCATCCCAGAACTGCCCCAAAACTGCCCTGACACCTGCCAGAAAACTGCCCCAAAATCTGCCCCAAAATCCCCTAAAACCCCACAGCTGTGTTCACCGAGGTCTGGGATTTGGGCTTTTTTGGGGTCCCTGAGTGGTTTTTGGGGTTTTGGGGTCCATTTTGGGTTTTTTGGGGTCCCTGTATGTTTTTTGGGGTCCCTGGGTGGTTTCTGGGGTTTTGGGGTCGGTTTTGGGGTCCATTCTGGGTTTTTGGGGTCCCTGGGTGGTTTTGGGGTCCCTGAGTGGTTTTGGGGTCGGTTTTGGGGTCAGTTCTGGGTTTTTGGGGTCCCTGTGTGTTTTTTGGGGTCCCTGAGTGGTTTTGGGGTCGGTTTTGGGGTTTGTTGGGGTCCCTGTGTGGTTTCTGGGGTTTTGGGGTCGGTTTTGGGGTCCATTCTGGGTTTGTTGAGGTCCCTGAGTGGTTTTGGGGTCGGTTTCTTGGGGTGATTTTGGGGTGACTTTGGGGTGATTTTGGGGTGATTTTGGGGTGATTTTGGGGTGATTTTGGATTGATTTTTGGGGTGAGTTTTTGGGGTTTTTGGCACAGCTGGAGCCAGGGGTTTTGGGGTGATTTCAGGGTGATTTTTGGGCTGATTTTGGGCTGATTTTGGGGCTTTTGGCACAGCTGGAGCCCGGCGTGCCCCTGCCCAGCCCCCAGGAGCTGCTGGGCCGGATCCTCATCAAGAACAAGAAACGGCGCCCGGGGGGGGCCCCGGCCCGCCCCAAAGCCAGCGGTAACCCCAACCCCAACCACCCCAAACACCCCAAACACCCCAAAATATCCAAAAATATCCCAAATCCACCCCAAATCCACCCTGAAATACCCCAAATCCACCCCAAAATACCCCAAAATATCCCAAATCCATCCCAAATCCACCCGAAATAACCCAGAAACACCCCAAAATATCCCAAAATATCCCAAATCCACCCCAAAATGTCCCAAATCCACCCCAAATCCACCCCGAAATATCCCAAAATACCCCAAATCCACCCCAAAACACCCTAAACCCACACTGAAATACCCCAAAAAAACCCGAAAAACCCCAAATACCCCAAATCCACCCCAAATCCACCCCAAAATCCACCCAAAATACCCCAGAAACACCTTAAAAACACCCCAAAACACCCTAAAAACACCCTAAAAACACACTGAAATACCCCAAAAAACCCAAAACACCCCAAAACCACCCTGAAGTACCCAAAATCCCCCAAACCCACCCAAAATTCCCTCCCTGACCCCCCGTGCCCCCCAGGCCCCCCCGAGGTCGGGGTCCCCAACGGGGACGAGCGGGGGGCGCCGCCCCGGAGAGCCCCCGGTGAGTCGGGGACTTTGGGGCTTTTGGGGGCTTTTAGTGGTTTTGGGGATTTTTGGGCTTTTTCAGGATTTGGGGGAATTTTGGGGTTTTTTTGGGGTTTTTTTTTTTAGGGTTTTTTTTTTGGGGAGGATTTGGGGCTTTGGGGGCTTTTTGGGGGGATTGTTCTGTTTTGTTTTTTGGGGGGTTTTGTGGGTTTTGGGGGGGTTTTGGGTTTTTGGAGGGGTTTTTGGGGTTTTTTAGGTTTTTTTGGGTTCTCAGGATTATTCTGGGGTGATTCTGGGTCTTGGGGGTGATTTTGGAATGGTTTTGGGGTGATTTTGGGGTCTTCGGGGTGGTTTTGGGGTGATTTTGGATGTTTTGAGGTCGTTGGGCTGATTTTGGGGTGGATTTTTTTGGGGGTTTTTTTGGGGTTTTTTAGGTTTTTTTGGGTTCTCAGGATTATTCTGGGGTGATTCTGGGTCTTGGGGGTGATTTTGGAATGGTTTTGGGGTGATTTTGGATGTTTTGAGGTTGTTGGGCTGATTTTGGGGTGGGTTTGGGTGTTTTTTTGAGATTTTGGGCTGATTTTGGGGTCACTGGGGTGATTTGGGGTGGTTTTTTGTGATTTTGGGGTGGTTTTGGGTGATTTTGGGATGTTTGGGGTGACTTTGGGGTCCCCCAGAGCGCGAGGCCGACAGTGAGGAGGAGGAGGAGGAGGAGGAGCAGCCCCAGGAGATGAAGAAGCCGACGACCGACGAGGTTTGGGGGCTTTGGGGTCCCCGGGGGGGTTTGGGGGATTTTGGGGGTCCTGGCTGTGCATTCTTGGGGTTTTTGGGGTTCCTGGGTCAGCGTTTTTAGGGTTTTTTGGGGTTTTGGGTTTTTTTGGGGTTTTGGGGTGCTCCAGTTTGGGATTTTGGGGTTTTTGGGGTTCCTGGGTCAGCGTTTTGGGGTTTTGGGGGGGTTTTGGTGTTCCTGGCTGTGCATTTTTGGGTTTTGGGGTGCCCCAATTTGGGATTTTGGGCTTTTGGGTGTTGCTGGGTCTGCGTGTTTTGGGGTTTTTTGGGGTTTTTTTTGGGTTTTGGTGTTTTTGCTGTTCCTGGCTGTGCGTTTTTGGGGTTTTGGGGTTTTTTTTTTGTTTTTTGGGGGGGTTTTTTGGGGTTTTGGTGTTCTGGGGTGCCCAATTTGTGATGGGGCAGGGCACGGCGGGCAGCGAGGTGACGGCCACCGAGGCCATGTCCAGCCTGGTCACCTACGTGGAGCCCGTCAAGTTCAGATCCTTCCAGACAGCCCAGAGTGAGAGAATTGGGGGCATTTGGGGCAATTCGGGGGAATTTGGGGGATTTGGGGCACTTTGGGGGAATTTGGGGCACTTTGGGGGAATTTTGGGCGGATTTGGGGCCATCTGGGGGGAATTTTGGGCGGATTTGGGGTCCAGGGAGGATTGGGAGGTGAAATTTGGGAGTTTTAGGAGTCCTGGGATTGATTTTGGGTTAGTTTTGGGTTGATTTGGGGTGAATTTTGGATGGATTTGTGGATTTGGGTTTATTTTGGGTGGGTTTGGGGTTAATTTTGGGTGGATTTGGGGTTAATTTGGGTGGATTTAGCGGATCTGGGTTTGGGGTGAATTTTGGATGGATTTGTGGATTTGGGTTTATTTTGGGTGGGTTTGGGGTTAATTTTGGGTGGATTTGGGGTTTAAGGTTGATTTGGGTGGATTTGGGTGGTTTGGGGGCTGATTTTGGGGGTCTTTTGGGTTAATTTTGGGGGGGGGTTGGGGCTCTGGGCTCAGTCCTGAGCGGATCTGGGTTTTTGGGGTGAATTTGGGGGATTTTGGGGCCCCCAGAGCGCAACAGGAGCTTCGAGATGTCGTCGTTCGTGGAGACCAAGGGGCTGGAGCAGCTCACCAAGAGCCCCCTCGAGTTCGTCGAGTATCCAAAACCGGCCCCAAATGGCCCAAAATAGCCCCAAAACCGGCCCAAAAATGGCTCAAAATAGCCCAAAACCGGCCCAAAAACGGCCCAAAATAGCCCAAAACTGGCCCAAAAATGGCTCCAGAAACAGCCCAAAAATGCCCCAAAACCAGCCCAAAAGACAGCCTAAAAATGGCCCAAAATTACCTAAAACCAGCCCAAAAATGGCCCCAAAATGGCCCAAAAACGGCCCAAAACCAGCCCCAAAAACGGCTTAAAATGGCCCAAAATAGCCCAAAAATGGATCCAAAATGGATCCAAAAATGGCCCCAAAACGGCCCAAAAATGGCCCCAAAACGGCCCAAAAATGGCCCCAAACTGGCCCAAAAATGGCTCAAAATGGCCCAAAATAGCCCAAAAATGGATCCAAAATGGATCCAAAAATGGCCCCAAAACAGCCCCAAAAATGGCTCCAAAATGGGACTTTTTGGGGCATTTTGGGGCTTTTTGGGGCTTTTTGGGGGGTTGGGGGTAAAAACGGCTTAAAATGGCCCAAAATAGCCCAAAAATGGATCCAAAATGGATCCAAAAATGGCCCCAAAACAGCCCCAAAAATGGCTCCAAAATGGGACTTTTTAGGGCTTTTTGGGGCATTTTGGGTCTTTTTGGGGGGTTGGGGGGGGATTTTGGGCTCAGTTTAGGAGGATTTGGGTTTCTGGGTGGGTTTTGGGTGGGTTCTCGAGTTTTTGGGGTTCCCAGGTGGATTTGGGAGTTTCTGGATGAGTTTTGGAGTGGTTTTGGGGTGGTTTTTTTTGGCTTTTTGGGTTTTTGGGGTGCCCAGGTGTGCCCAGGTGTGGCCAGGTGTGCCCTTGACCCCAGCCCAGGTACAACAAGCGCCAGCTGAGCCGGGTGTACCCCAAGGGCTGGGGCTGGGATGGGTTTTGGGGTGGTTTTTGGGGTTTTGGGGGTTGTTTTTTGGGGTTTGGGGGGTTTTGGGCGTTCCCAGGTGTATTTTGGGATGGATTTGGGGGTGCCCAGGTGTGGCCAGGTGTGCCCTTGACCCCAGCCCAGGTACAACAAGCGTCAGCTGAGCCGGGTGTACCCCAAGGGGACGCGCGTGGACTCCTCCAACTTCCACCCGCAGCTCTTCTGGAACGCCGGCGTGCAGATGGCAGCGCTCAACTTCCAGAGCCTGGGTGGGCACCGGGGCACCTGGGGGCACCTGAGATACACCTGAGATACACCTGGGGACACCTGGGATACACCTGGGCACCTGGGGGGCACCTGGGGGTACCTGGGGGTACCTGGGGGCCTGGGATACACCTGAGATACACCTGGGGGTACCTGGGGGCACCTGGGCACCTGGGGGGCACCTGGGGGTACCTGGGGGGCACCTGGGGGCCTGGGATACACCTGTCCCACCTGTCCCATCCCACCTGTCCCACCTGCCCCAGACGTGCCCCTGCAGCTGAACCTGGGGCTCTTCGAGGCCAACGCCTCCTCGGGGTTCCTGCTCAAGCCGGAGCCGCTGCGGCGCCCGGACAAAGCCTTCGACCCCTTCGCCGAGGGGCGGCTGGACGGCATCGTGGCCAACACCCTCAGCGTGCAGGTGAGCCCAAAACACACCTGGGCACACCTGGGGAACCCCAGAACTGACCTGGAACTGATCCAGAACCGGGAAACCCCAAAAATCCACAAAATCCTACAAAAACCCCACAAAATCCTACAAACGCAGGGTCACACGGCATCGTGGCCAACACCCTGAGCGTGCAGGTGAGCCAAAATAACCCCAAATCACCCCAAAAACACCCCAAAATAACCCCAAAAACACACCTGGGGAACCCCAGAACTGTCCCAGAACTGACACGGAACCGGGAAACCCCAAAAATCCACAAAATCCTACAAAAACCCAAAAAAATCCTACAAATCCCCACAAAATCCTATTTCTGTGGAGGGTTTTTTTTGGGGGGGGGGCAAGTTTTGGGGTCGGCGACTCAGATTTGGGGTCAGATTTGGGGTTTGTGCCCCCCAGGTGCTGTCGGGGCAGTTCCTGTCCGAGCGCCGCTGCGGGGTTTGGGGTATTTCTGTGGGATTTTGGGGTATTTCCATGGGTTTTTTTTTGTTTTTGGGGTTTTTGGGGTCGGTGATTCCGGTTCTGGGGTCAGTTTTGGGGTCAGTTTTGGGGTTTGTGCCCCAGGTGCTGTCGGGGCAGTTCCTGTCCGAGCGCCGCTGCGGGCTCTTCGTGGAGCTCGAGGTGTTCGGGCTCCCCGTGGGTTTTGGGGTTTTTGGGGTCAGTTTTGGGCTCAGGTTTAGGGTCAGATTTGGGGTTTTTGGGTCAGTTTTTGGGTTTCTCCCCCCAGGTGCTGTCGGGGCAGTTCCTGTCCGAGCGCCGCTGCGGGGTTTGGGGTATTTCTGTGGGATTTTGGGGTATTTCCATGGGTTTTTTTTTGTTTTTGGGGTTTTTGGGGTCGGTGATTCCGGTTCTGGGGTCAGTTTTGGGGTCAGATTTGGGGTTTCTGCCCCCAGGTGCTGTCGGGGCAGTTCCTGTCCGAGCGCCGCTGCGGGCTCTTCGTGGAGCTCGAGGTGTTCGGGCTCCCCGTGGACACGCGGCGCCGCTGCCGCACCCGCACGTGCCAGGGCAGCCCCTTCAACCCCGTGTGGGACGAGGAGCCCCTGGTGCTGCACAAGGTACGGGGGGGGACTGGGAGGGACTGGGGGGGACTGGGACAAACTGGGAACCTTACTGGGATGAACTGGGATGGACTGGGAGTTACTGGTTTATACTGGGAGGGGCCTGGGAGGGACTGGGAGTTACTGGTTTGGACTGGGAGGGGACTGGGACAAACTGGGAGGGACTGGGAGGGACTGGAACGAACTGGGAGGGGATTGGGAGGGACTGGTTCAAACTGGGAGGGGATTGGAACAAACTGGAAGGGACTGGGACAAACTGGGGACACTGGGAGGGACTGGGGAGCAGTGGGGATGACACTGGGGGGGACTGGGGACACTGGGAGGGACTGGGGACACTTTGGGGACACTGGGAATGAGGTGGAGACTCACTGGGGACACTGGGACAAACTGGGGGGGAGTGGGGGGCACTGGGAGGGACTGGGGGGGGAAATCCCGGTGGTTTTGGGGTGAGAAACGGCGATTTTGGGGGCAGAAATGGCTCAGGTGTGCCCCTGGTGTTACTGGGGGACCTCAGGGCGTGCCCAGGTACCCCCAGGTACCCCCCGGTGTCCCCAGGTGCCCCCCAGGTACCCCCAGCTGTGCCCAGGTGTAGCTCAGGTACCCCCCAGCTGCCCCCAGGTACCCCCAGGTGTATCCCAGGTGCCCCCAGGTGTGCCAGGTGCCCCAGGTGCCCTCCCCTGTCCCCCCAGGTGTATCCCAGGTGCCCCCAGGTGCCCCAGGTGCCCCAGGTGCCCTCCCTGTCCCCCCAGGTGGTGCTGCCCGCCCTGGCCTCCCTGCGCGTGGCCGCCTACGAGGAGGGCGGGCGGCTGCTGGGCCAGAGGGTGCTGCCCGTGGCCTCGCTGCGCTCAGGTGAGACACGG